TTGCTGCATCTATTTACCTCAGGTCCCTAAGGATCTAGCTCAGGCTCCCCATCCTCCTGTTTCTAATCCTGCTGTCGGGGAGTTCCCTGGAGGTCCTGTGGTTAGGACTCCACGCTTCCACCGTAGGGGGCACGGGTTTGATCCCTAGTTAGGGAACTAAGATCCCACGTGCCGTGCAGTGCAACCAAAAAGAAATCTATCTATCTATCTATCTATAGATATAGGTACAGATATATAGATATGTAATCCTACGGCCAGCCACCTGGGGGCTTCCAGCACTTACTCAACAGGTCAGCCTCTCAGGTCCTTGACTCCACGGACTCCAACAATCTCATCTCCATCTCAGTTCAGACACTCACCTCCAGGACCACACACTGTCCTCCCATTGCGGCCTATGCAGCCGCAAGCATTTAAACTCTCCACTTCTCTGTTTGAGCTGCTGAGTGATGCTAGAAAACAACTGTGACAAGCAGCTTGCAGCTTGCAGCTTGCAGTGCTCCTGCAAATTCAGGTTCTGACCTCAATCAGGAACTCTGCCGTTGCTCAGAGGCCCTTCCTTGTGTTCTCAGTCGGCTCACTCTCCCGTCTTCTCAGTGGCTGCTGCAAACCGTCTTCATTCTTCCCAAGCTCCTGTCCCCTGACTTCCCCCTTATACTCAGCAGACCACTCTGCCTACCATGTAATGAGCAATCGAGGTCACCAGGTGCTAATCACTTTATTCCACCATCATCCCAAACCATCTCCATCTGCCCTACCCGTTCCTTTTTCCTTTCTGTCCCAGAAGACAAGGGATCCCTATTGCTGGCCAAGGCTAAGCTTGGCATCCCTTCCCCCTACTCTTTCAGGATCCCCTGTAGCTTACTTCACCTGCCCCCTCGTGAGCCACCTTATGCTCTACTGGCTTTGTCCATTGGCATCCTAAGACTTCTCACTCCTACAGCAACCTTCACCTGCTTTTCTTCAGAGCCAAGAAAGAGCAGTCCACACCCACTCCTCTCCTTCCTCACCTCCAATTTATTCTCCAGCCCACCTCAGCTGAGCTTCTGCCGCCCTCCCCACCACCACCACAGACAATTGCTGAGATGAAGGGCACCAAATCGCTACAAAATAGACCCTTTTCTTTGCTCTCAGCTTACTGGCTCTCCGTGCTGTTAATGCTATCTCCTCCCTCCTGGGGAGTCTCCTTAGCTGTCCTCTTACCCAATAGCCCTCTCTCAGACCTCTCTTCTTCCAGCAGCTTATAAGGATGGGTACTTCCTGAGACTTTGATTTTGACCTTCTGTTGCTCTTTATACCTTTATGTATAAAGGCTTCATTCCAATCAAGGCTTCCATCCCACCGCTACACTCTTGTCTCTAAGCCTTAGTTTCCAGCCCCAGATCTCTTTTACTCTGCTAAACTCCAGTCTGGTACATCCAGCTGCTGGCTGGACATCTCCATTTGGGTATCTTCAGGCAGCTCAAAGTCAAGCCAGTCAATACCCAAGTCATCCTCCCCAAAAACCTGCTCTTCTGCCCACCATATTCTCTGTCTTGGTGAATGGCACCAACTGCTGTCTATTCACTGTAATTCAGAAATATCAAGGCAACCTTTAATCCTCTTGCCCTGATCTCTAAGTCTTAATGATTCTACCTTCTCAGCGATGATCATACGCATCTTCCCACTTCATTAATTCAGGACTCCATCACTGCTCATCAAATTAGTCAAACAGAAGAACTCAGCTCCTGGCCCTTCCCCAATCCTGCTTCCATTGGGCTGCCAGCATCATCTTCCTAAAACCCAGATCTGACCACATCACTCCCCTGCTTTAAATCCTTCGGTGACTCTGGACAGTACTTGCCACAGGGCACTGAAATTAGTTTACTGGTTTCTCTCCTTCAGGTTGCTGTAAGCAACTCGGGGTCACATGCCATTTCTCTGTGCCTAGCACAATGCCTGGCACATAGCAGGTGCTTAATAAACATTTGAGTGGAAGGATTCCAAGCCCATCAGGTGCTGCCTGAATGTGTTAACAGCCAAGCAGGGCAGTGGTTAAGAGCAGAGGCTTCAGACAGGCAGACTTGGCAGGTCTGAGTGCCAGCACTACCAACCTTCAGCTATTTGGCCTGGGGAATATTTCTTCCTTTTTGTCAGCCTCAGTTTCCTCAACTGTTAAATGGGAATACCTCCACCTACCTTACAGAGAATGGGACAATGCTCCTAAAGGACTCAGCACAGTGCCTGACACAGAGAAGCACTCAATAAATGGTTGCCATTATTATTATTAATGACAGCAACCATTAGTTAAACCTCAAGGTTAGAAAAGAACCCCAGAATTTTAATGCTAGAACCACTGGGGCTCCAAGAAACAAACTGACCATCACAAATTTAGTAAGTGGCAAGATCAAACTTAAAACCTAGTATCAATACAACAATAAAATGCTGTTATGGGCTGTTTGGTGGACTTGCCCTTAATTACAGGGTAAATGAAAGAGCACTGTGAGCAATAACACGTAGACTGTAGACGTAGGATATTCATAAATGCACTTGGCATATTGCATACATGGGAATTTGTGTCTCTAAACTTGGACTTGTGCTAATGTGCTTTGGGGTAAGTTCATAATTACAGTGCTGTTCATCTTTCCTATCGTCAGCTGTAACCATCTGTTAAACTAGGAATCAAATGATTCCTTTAGAGCCTTGGCTCGATCAGTGGTTCTTTTTTTTTTCTTTTGGCCACACCGTGTGACTAATGGGATCTTAGTTCCCCGACCAGGGATTGAACCCATGACCTCGACAGTGAGAGTGCAGAGTCCAGTGGTTAACGGGACTGCCAGGGAACTCCCTCAGTCAGTGGTTCTTAAGGGTAGAGAGAATGGCAGTGCTATCACCTGAAATTTCAAAGTACATCCCCCCTTACCCTTCTGAGAATCACTTTGTTTCATGAAATTTTAAGATCAGTAATGTGTTTGGCATGATACACTTCTCACACTCATTTCCCTTTATCATTCTCACCTGCAGAAGGGGGTCTTGGCATTAGAAAACATTATGCTATGAAAAGAATGCTATTGGAAGAGCATGTGTTTTATTACACGTATGCTCCACTCTGAAGAGCCTTAATACCCAAGGCATAACAGGACTGGCTGATTGCTATTTCCATAGTAATCTGCAATGGGGCTTATCTGTCATCAGTTGGATGAAGCCTGGGAACAGAGGGGCAGAGAAAGAGGGGATTAAAGTACAGGGATCCCCAGGACTTCCCTGGTGGTGCAGTGGTTAAGAATCTACCTGTGAATGCAGGGGACATGGGTTTGAGCCCTGGTCCAGGAAGATCCCACATGCCGCGGAGCAACTAAGCCTGTGCTCTGGAGCCCACGGGCCACAACTACTGAAGCCTGCGCGCCTAGAGCCCGTGCTCCGCAACAAGCAGCCACCCCAATGAGAAGCCCGTGCACCACAATGAAGAGTAGCCCCCACTCACAGCAACAAAGACCCAATGCAGCCAAAAATAAATAAATAAATAAATAAATTTATTAAAAATATAATAATAAAGTACAGGGATCCCCAGGCACCTTGCAGGGTGAGCTGGGCTCTGCCCAGGAAGTGTGATAAGAGAAAAGAGTAAGAAAATGTCTGCAAGGTCCTCTGGTCTCCAGGTTCTTCCTGGTGAGCTAAAGTGAGACTGAGCTCTTCCCAATGCTGGACTGAGGGCACCTGAGTGGCGGGTGAAGTGGAGCATAAAAGCCAGTTGCTACTCACATGGATGGACCTAGAGATTATCACACTAAGTGAAGTAAGCCAGAAAGAGAAAGACGAATACCATATGCTATCACTTACATGTGGAATCTAAACTATGACACAAATGAACTTATCTATGAAACAGAAACAGATTCAGAATAGAGAACAGACTTGTGGTTGCCAAGGGGAAGCGGAGTGGGGATGGATTAGCAAATGCAAACTGTTATATATAGCATGGATAAAAAACAAGGTCCTACTGTATAGCACAGGGAACTATATTCAATATCCTGCGATAAATTACAATGGAAAACAGTATGAAAAAGAATGCATATATACATGCATAACTGAATCACTTTGCTGTACAGCAGAAATTAACACAACACTGTAAATCAACTATACTTCAGTGGAATAAATTACAAAGCCAGGTACTCTAAAACATGAACTCAAAGGAGAATTTTCCACATATATTCTACTTTACTGATCACAATGTAAGACTCGCCTTCATTTCAATTAAGACTTGTATCCCCACTTTTTGGTGTAGCCTTTCTAGATTACTCCCACTTAGAGGTGTGTAAGGATGCCTAGCACCTCTTTGTGAAGTGTCATGGACACTACATATGTTGGGTTCAACAGGAACCAACTTGCTCAGAGCTCAACAGCTGCCTATGCAAGCAGATCCTGTAGCGCAGGACACAACAGCAAGACCACGTCTGGGGTCCGATTTGGCTGCAGGAAATTCCCTTCTGTAGGCAGGCATGACTGTGACTCTGGCCCCTGGAGCCAAACTAGCCACTCAGGAGGGCACAAGCCTTGGTGTATACATGGAGTCTGCGTTCTCTCAAGACAGAGTGCAGTGATCCCAGACACAAGGTCAGACCTGTGACCCACCTTCCCAACATGAGGGTGTATACCACCGAGGAAGAGCTGGCAGAAGCGACCAGGCTGGCGTCATGAAGCACCCTTCCTCCCTGGCTCCATCCCTCCCGCACGCCCGCTCTCTGAGTCACTCTCCTGGTCACATACCCTCTGTGTGAGGGTGTTCGCATGGCTTGGGGTGTCACTTTAGGTGACTCATTGATTTGTGGTAGGGTCGAGGACAAGGCAGCAGAGCACATGGGCTACACACAAAGGCTTGGTCAGCGCTTCTTGATGACTTTCAGCAAACCAGGGCCCAGTTAGTGTCATTCACACAGACCCTGGACCCCCTATCAGAATTATAGCTCTACAGGATCCCGTGACAAAGCTATTTAACGTGAAGTTATAAAGAAAACATCACACAATTGTTTTTCCTTTATAAAAATTTATCAAGGGAATAATTTGAGTTTTAAAAGGCTTGGTTTAGCAAAGTAAAAGACTAAAAACCATTAAAACACTTTGAATTCTTCTTTAACCTTCCAAGTGGGGTCTAAATTAAATAAATCCTCTATCACTTTAGGAAAGAGGCTGCTTTCCTAAATCCAAAAAATTGATTTCCAAGTCACTCTCTCTTACCTCTACTGCCTTGTAACCCTAAGAACTAAACCTCACCAGGGATGGCTCCTCTGGAAGTCAAGGTGGAAAGAACAGGTCATATCCCAACACAGACTGGATGTAGACTCTGAGCCAAAAAAAAGTCTGAGAGAAACTGTGATCATACAAGTTATCATCCAGCAGTATACTTTTGGAAAGTTCAACACAGTGCTGCTAATTACTTGAGAACAAAAGGCATAAAATGAGACATATGGTCACTCTAGTGATAAGGCAGTTTGGGAAACTACACTTCCCAGTATGCCCTGCCCCTTGAAAGTCAAAAGGCTTTCCCAGGAGCAAAGCATCCTGGGACCCATGGTTAGCACCATTTAAGAGGTAAACAGCCTATAGGGCTGGGTTCTGACATGGAGCCTTCCTCCTTCCAGGGAACACTTAACAACACCTGAGGTGAAATTTTAATGGATATTAAGTCTGGGGTGGAGCCTCACTCTCCCCAACAACTCTAGTTTCCAAAGGTGTAGAGCTGGTAGAGCTGTCCACTGGTCCACTGCCCTGTTCTCCTGGGTGTGGTGCTGCCTCTGCCTCCCCACATCACCAGTGTCCCCACTGGCACTTGTCTTTTGGGGGATTCTGGGCCAGGTGCTGTTCCCACTCAACTTCAACCAACTTGTACAGCTCCATGGTGGCCTGAGCATCTTCCACAGAGGAATGTCCGCTTTTGCCAACCTGATAGAAGGAAGAAAAGGGAGGAAGAAAAGAACATGAAGCTATAAGAGACTGTTTCTTCCCTTCCCAACTGGCTCCCTCCAACCCACTGATGCTGCTGCTGCTGCTGCTGCAGTTAGCGGGCTACAAAGGTAGACCTCTGGTGAGGCCCTACTCCTTATCTAATTTCAGGGGTTCAACTCCTATGCTACTGTCTGCCTCAATCCTTTCTGTAGCGACATGTACATACCACATTGTTCTACATCCTTCTGTAGAGGCAGAACAAACCAGATCACAGACAGGCCTTCTGAGTCTTCCACATTCCCCAGTTCCTTAACTGATCTGTATATGACATGTGTCCACAGCCTCATGCCAGGCAGGCCATCCCCTCTTTGACTGCCAAACATATGAAATACATAAGAGCCTCTTGCATCCACTACGTGGTCTTTTAGACCACCACAACTACCTGCTTTCTACTTTTCTTAGTTAGGGTTTTATCCCCACTTTCAGGCTTTTTTCCTTTTCCAAGTATCCTTTGGAACACTCTGTGAGGTAGAGAACAGGAATAGTTATCCCTATGTAGAGATGGACCCCTCTGCCCAAAGCTCTTCCCATCAGAGCATCCCATCCAGATCTCTCTACAACCAGAGGAATTTGAGGGTCAGAGCCTGGAGAAAGGCAGCAGGAGAGCCTTCAGTGTCCAGGCCAGAGGTCTGGCAGCATTTGGGAAGATGCTACCTGGATGTCCCGGCTCAGCAGCTTCTTGGTGAGATGCTTCAGAGACATGGTTGCATTCTCTGGGCAGTCGGCCTTACGGTTGAGGAGGGGGATATGGGAGGTGTCTCGGGTGAGGGACTTAGGGTGAAAATACTGAAGGGCTTTGAAGTCATTGTGGATGGCATGCCCCACCACTATCTTCCCTGTGAGAATCTTCAAGATCTGAAACAGGCATGGGAGAAGAGGTGGTGAGGAACAGCATTCAAAGATGTAGCCCCTGCATCCTCAAAGCCCAACATGGCTGTTTAAGTCCTTCTAGGTCCTTTTCACCAATTGCCCACCTACCTCATCCTTGAAATGCCCTCTTCCACAAGTTTTCTTTCACCTACATCTATCTCCTCTCCCCAAGGTAAAAGTAGATATTTTCTATGGTGTAACCCTGTTTGGATTTACATCACCAGTGGCACCTTATCTTCACATTAATTTCTACCCCAATGTGATGTTCATGTAACTACCTAGTTCAGTCCTGGCTTGATACCTGAAGTTCTTTAACCATGATCATTATGTTGGCCTTAGACATAGGCTGGGACCAATGTTGTTAAAGATGGGCTCCAGGAAGGTACTGGAAGCCCCAAATTATATGCAAATAGATATGCATATGTTTGCCTTTTTTTCGGGGGGGGCGGGATCCATGGCTTTCATCAGATTCTCAAAGAGCCTACAAGCCATAAAAGATTAAGAATTGGGAGTTCCTTGGCAGTCTAGTGGTTAGCACCCGGCACTCTCACTGCCTGATGCCGGGGTTTAATCCCTGGTTAGGGAACTAAGATCCTGCAAGCTGTGAGGCACAGCGCCCCACCTCAAAAAAGAAAAAGATTAAGAATCATTTATAGACTAAGGCTGCAGAGGGAAGTGATCAAGTGCCCATGCTTATGCTGCTTTAACAAGAAATCAGTCCCGGCGCTTCATAGCTCCTCCTGCTCATAACCAGAGGGTATTTACCAGCTGGTCAGGAACCTTATTCACACCATTCTTGGAACCAAATAATTTCTCACCATTTCAGAATCTTAAAGCATAAGGACATACTGCCAATGAGGATAACTAAAGAATATGTCATGAGCTCTGAAGGCCATTACCAAAATGGGGTTCCAAACAGATTGTGAACAAGAGCAACAGGCCTGGAATCAATGCCTGACCTCCCAATGGGATGCCTTGGAAGGGAAAAGACTCATTTGAATGTACCTTAGTCTCATACCCCAGCTTGGGCACTGGTTTTTATGATGAAAGCCAGATACAGTCCAATCAACTTGGTATTTAGCTGCTCCTAACTGCACCTGCAGTTTACTCACCACTAACACCTTTACTTCGCATTAATTTTGACATATAGCCTGCCTTAAAGCTAAGTGGATTTGCTGTTTCAGGCCCACCCCATCTTCTGCCTCTCCCAAGCCTTTGCTCAGCTATGCCCCTGGTGCACAGGATGTTCTTCAACTCTTCAAGTTCTTTCTAAAATCCAGCTGTTCCACCTCTGATGAAATTCCTCCAACTGACTGCTCTGGCATATGAGGAATTATTGGAACAGTGTGTGTCTAGAGAAGGCAAAGAATGTGGAGCTGAAATTACAAAGAAGTGGACCAAAGGCGCCCTCTGGAGGCCTTCCAAGACCAGCAGGCTCCCTTCCCCTTCACATTTACCAGCTCACCCTCCTTTCCTGTTCATTTGCTGTGCCTCCAGTATTCAGCGTAGGACTTACAGTGGCTAGGTTTGCTCAGTGAGTGAGATGAGAACCCCAACATACCAGCCCAGTGTCTTTTATCCCCTCCACTGCAGGCTACCTGTTCCAGTTATACAAATATGCCCCAGCTCCTTCTGTCAATGTTCTGCCTTCTCCTACCACCAATTTTCCACATTGCCACAGGCTATTTCTGGCTTGGGAAGCCCTCTCCACCTCTCTATTCTCAACCCTAGACCCCACCTCTACAAGGCATTCTCAAATTGAGCCCTTTACCCCTGGCACTCATGCCTGTTGCTCTGTCCATCACTGGCTGTTATTTCTCTAGCAGATTCCCGGTTCTCCAGATGAGGATTCCACTTGGGACCTAAAAGATCTTAACTAATAAAGTTCGTTACACCAGCTAACTGTAACTTTCCAGACTCTCACCACTCCTTATCCCAACAGAAAGCCTTCTTCACCTGCTACTCCACCCACTCCATCCCTCCCTCCACAATCCTTCGGCACCTTCCCAGGGTGATATTCTTTGCAGAAAAATGATTTGGACCCCTCCCCACCCACCCCGCTGCTACCACCATCTCCCATGCCTCTCACCTGGCTCCGAGCAATCTTGAAGGGTGTAGCATTCACCATGTGCTGCTTCCGGATACCACTCCATCTGGTCCGGTAGTCCACAATGTGGCAGGGGGGAAGGATGTACTCATCATAAAGCACATCCCCGCTGTAGCTGACAATGCTACATCGAGCCAAGGAACTGACATGCCCCTTGGGTCCTGTGCCCACCATCTCACAGTCAATTGCCACCATCTTCGTTGGCATCTTCTGGGATGCTCCAGGGTATTTATTCTCTGAGTGAGCTTGGGCGGAGATCTGTGGGGCAGTCTTCTGAGGAGGGTTCTTCTGGAAGCCCTTCTTCTGGGGGCAAATTGGGAGGCTCTTGATCTTTGGTAGGGCACTCTGGAACTCCCCCAGCAAATCTACTTTAGCCACAACAGAACCAGCTTTCTGTGAAGGAGCAGGGGTCAGCCAAGGCACTGCAGCTTTCTTGTCCAGGGACTGCTCTGACCCACTGCTGGAAGCAGCAGTCTTCTTTTTTGGAAGGGGAGGGGCCTTCCAAGTGCCATCCACCTTGGGAGTGTCCCCTTTCTTTGAAGGTTCTGAGTGCAACTTAGGGACCTTGCTAGGGGGCTGCTGCTTCTTATTCAGAAAGCCTTTCTGTTCCAAGAGCCGCCGCTTCTTGACAAATTTTTGGTGCTTGGCGTTGCCTTCTAATGCCTTTCTGGGGGGAGGTTCGCCAAAATCCAGATTGAGGAGTAAGGTAGACATGATGACGGTGGATGGCGGGAGAACAGTTGGGAAAAACAGCTTACCAATGAGAGGATGGACAACTCATCCTCTGCTGAATCCCATAGGCCAACATCTGGAGGTTTGTAGTATACCCTGGGGAAGAAAATGATCCTGATAACGGAGTCCATAGGCCTGGAAACCAGTAAGATAAGACCCATCTCCGTAGGGCTTAAAGAAGAGAGGAAAGACATCAGAGTAACCTCTCAGATAACGTGAAATGTGAAATGATGGAAGGAGGACTTCCTTTTGAACCAGGAAGCCTGGGTTCCAGGGAAGCCCCACAATTCTCCAGCAGTATGGTATCAGGAAGGCCATTTCCCCTCTCTAGATCTCAGTCTCATTTGTAAACTGAGGGGGTTGCAGGGCCAACCAGCTGAAACTCTTGTGATCTGGAACGCCAGAATAGGTGAGCTCTATCATGCAGGAAAGGAACGTCTAAGTATGCTCGAAGGCAGTCACAGGTTTGGCATAGTTGACCTCTGAATTACCCAGGCATCCCCAGCGCGGGTCCCAAGGACAGAGATAGAAATTCAGGCACCCATTTCCCTCATCTCCACGTGGGGGAAATCTCCACATGCAGCTCACTCAAGACCTTCTCCCAAGAAAGGACCTTTGACAACACATATTAGCGGAGGGGAAAACCGAGGCTGGGGACAGCACACTCTGGCCGTCCACGCCACGTAGCCAGCTTCCCACCCTCACACACCTACCTCCCAGATGGGCCCAGCTAAGACCGGAAGCGCCAGGAGCCGGATGCGGAAATTGGCGCGCGTATGCGAGGCCCGAGCCGGCAGGCTAGCGGATTGGAACGCACCGGAGGCCGGGCCCGCGTACCCACAGCGCCCCTGCCTCCGGGAGCGAGGCCAGGGATTCCTAGTGTGTGAGAAGCGGCAGCGGCAGCGGCGGCGGCGGTGGCGGCGGCGGCGGCGGCGGCGGCGGCGGCGGCGGCGGCGTGGGTGGGGGCGGGGGCGGGATGCGCTCCCCGGCCCTTCTAGCCCAGCGGAGGTACAATTCGAAGGTGTGAGGAGGCCGCTACAAACCGGCACTACAGCGTGCCGGAGGCCCCGGCCCTCACTTCCGTTAAAAGAGGGAAGTGTATGGGAAGGGGCGGGATCTGGAGGCGGGACCTGGAACTTGGCCCGCCACACTCCGTGAGGTGGGCGCCGCGGCACGCCTCTGTGGCGTCACTGCGCTGGCACCGCCTCCCGGTTTGCGTCCAATGCTGACAGCTTCGGTCTGTGGGACGTCGCGGCTTGTGACGTCAGGAGGGCGCCTCAAGTCTTCACCCCCAACCTGGAATCCCGGAAAGGCAGCGTCTGGGACCGGGTTCTGAGCGCTTTCTTCCGGTCCTGCAGAGCTGAGCCAAGCACGGGTCCCGGACCCGCGTAGTCCTGACCCAGGTTCCCGCCTCACTGCATTCTCCCTCCCCGCGCCACCGGCTGGGCCCCGAAATGCCGGGGGTCTCTGCCCGGGGCCTCTCTCACGAAGCGAGGAGGCAGCTAGCTGTGAACCTCACCCGGGTCGTGACGCTCTACCGTTCCATCCTGGACGCCTACATCATTGTGAGGCCACAGGGTTGTGGGTGGGGTGCTCCTGGTTATGTGGGTGGCTCCCTAGCCACGACAGGGGAAGAATGTAGAGTTAGCTTCTGATCTCTTTTCTAATATGTTTCTTCAGTCTTTTGTCTGTACAAGAAAGGGTTAAAGCTGGGGCAGCCCCCCCCTTCTTTTTCTTTCAGATGACCTAAATATTAATAGTTTTAGCATCTAGGTTGTTTTTCTAACCCTCTCAAGTCCAAAGTAATAAAACGCATGGACATTTGAGCCATGCTGCTGCAGCACGTTTAACTCTCCCAGAAACATGTGAGGTGTTTCGAGAACACACATGTTCATTCATTCAAGCTTTGAATAAATTCCTGGCTTTGCAGTGTAATGGACAATTCCAACTTTGGAGTTGACAGACTTGGACTAGAATCCTGCCTCCCCTACTGTGTTAACCTTAGGCATAAAAAAAAAAACCCATTCCTCCTAGCCTCAGTTCCTGAGCGGTAAAATGGATCTCTTTTTGAAGGATCATTGTGAAGAATAAATGAGATGATGTATAAATGGCACCAACATCCACCGAATTGTTCAGCTCCCAAACCCAGAAGCCATCCTCGATTCAGCTCTTTTCTTCATTGATCTACGATCCAGCCCTTCAACAAGTCCTATTGGCTCAACTTCCAGAATAGATACCAAATTCACCCATTTGTCTCCATTGCCATTGCTACCACCCTAGGACAAGCCAGCATCATCTCTCTCCTGGACTACTTCCTAACTGATCTCTGTGTTTGCTTCCTCTCCTCCATACCCAGTTCTTCACAAAACAGTCAGATTAATCTTTTAAAAATGTAAATTTCACCAGGACACTTCCTTGCTTCTTAGGTACTTTGATGAAATCATAATTCTTTACCATTACCTATAAAACCCTACATGATCTGTCCCCTGCTCTCTTTTAAACCCCATCACATTTCATTCTCTCCCACATTCACTGTACTACACTGGGCCTTTGCACTTACTGATCTGCCTGGAATGTTTCTCCTCCACAGAAAGGCAATTGAGTAGGGTGGTTAAGAGCAAAAACTCTAGAGTCAAATTGGTTTCAAATCCCAGCTGTGCCACTTACTAGCTTTTTGCCTTAGAATACTTAATTGCTGTACTTTGGTTTCCTTATCTGTAAAATGGGGGATAAAAATAGTACTATCTCATAGGGTAATTGTGAGGATTATATGCATTAATATACGTAAAATGTTTCAGACAGTGCTTGGCATATTATAGTATTCTGTAAGTGTTTGCTCTTACCTGAATTTTAAAAAATTGAGATAGAATTGACATTTTAGTTTCAGGTGTATAATATAGTGATTTGTATATATTATGAAATGATTACAGTAAGTCTAGTTAATATCCATCACCGTACATAGCTACATTTTTTTCTTGTGATGAGAACTTTTAAGATCTACTCTCAGCAACTTTCAAGTATACAATACTTTCAAGTATACAATACAGTATTATTTACTATAGTCACTATGGTGTACATTACATCTCCATGACATTTATTTTGTAACTGGAAGTTTGTACCTTTTGACCCTCCTCACCCATTTTACCCACCCCCACCCCCTGCCTCTGGCAACCACTGCCTGAATTTTTTTACATGTGCTGTTTCCTGTTCATCATTCAAGTCTCAGCTGAAGTGTCACCTTCTCAGACAAGTCTTCCCTCATTGCTCTATCTAAAATAGTACTTTCTCAAACTGTCCATTGTTACTGTTTCATTAGTGTTTTATTGTCTATGTGGCATTTGATGTTATCTGAAATAATTTTTTAAAATGTAAGCTCTGTAAGAGCAAGGATCTTGTCTGTCTGCTTCATTGTTTGTATCCCCTGAGCCTAGGATAGAACTTGGTGCCTAACCAAAGCTCCAGAATTTGTGTTGAATAAATGACTGAATAAAAATACATTCTGGCAGGGAATTCCCTGGTGGTCCAGTGGTTAGGACTCGGCACTTTCACTGCCGAGAGCCTGGGTTCAATCCCTGGTCGGGGAACTAAGATCTCACAAACCACGCAGTTCGCCAAAAAAAACCCCACAAAACCCAACATTCTGACATATGTAATGTCTGGCACATCTAATGGTAGGTTACTAGATGGTAACACTAATACTGGGTGTCAGTCACTGTGGTGTTGAAGATGCAGATGTGAAGCCACCATCCCTGCCCTTTAGTTGAGTGGAGGAAACAGACACATAAATAAGTGGGGACACTGCTAAAAGGAGAGGTGTGTCCAAAATGCAATTTGGGCTCAGAGGAAGGAGGGGGAGGCTAGAGCAGGCTTCAGAGAAGAGATGACAGCCAATGAGTAGAGGTGCCTGTTAGTTGCAGCCAGTGGCCATGTGTTGAGTGGGGCGGGGAAGAATGGGAAGAGTAGTAGCCTGTTGATTGCTTCTCCCTTTCCCCTACAGGAATTTTTCACAGACAACCTATGGGGCACACTCCCTTGCTCATGGCAGGAAGCCCTGGATGGACTGAACCCGCCACAGCTGGCCACACTGCTGCTGGGGATGCCTGGGGAAGGGGAAGTGGCCAGGTATGGGCAAGAGGGCACCTGTGTTGGGGTACTTGGTGCTGAGCCCTGCAGGGAGCCATTGCTCAGAGTCTCACAAGGGCTTCCTGGGTTGTAAACTTGCACACTCAGGATGCAATGGGACTATTCACTGGGGCCTGGGTGGGCTATCTCAGGTACAGGTCGGTGTGGCCACTCACCCTGCTGGCCCTGAAGTCCACAGCCTATGCCCTGGCTTTTACCCGGACGCCTGGGTTTCAGACCCCCTCAGAGTTCCTGGAGAACCCCAGCCAGAGTTCCCGACTGACAGCTCCATTCCGGAAACATGTCAGGCCCAAGAAGCAGCATGAGATTCGGAGGCTGGGAGAGGTGAGGAGATGGCTGGGGTACAGGTGGTATCTGGGAGCCTGGGGACTCAAGCCTATGGGTTACAAAGGTGTGGGCACTTTATATCACCTGCAGGACCAGAGCCCCTAGAAGGTCCCTTCCTTGTCAGATACACTATAATCATATCTTCATCCTTTTGCTGGGTTGTTTGGTGGCTATATTTGAATCACTGGCTTAATCTTGTCCTGATAACTTTCACAATCTGCTCATGGCTTCACAGCAGGGCTCTTGTTCTGTGGCGGAGACTGAATCACCAGCCTGAGAGGAGCAAAGACAGTAGCCTGAGCCTGGGGTCAGCACACCCCATTTTGGTTTCCATGTCTCTTGTCTCTTCCCTCTACCCATCTTCCTCTGCCATCTTCAGCTCCTCCACCCTCATTATGGGTGTTTGCCCTGGGAGCCAACACCAATGGCAGGAGACCTTTGTTCCCTCCTCTTTCAGCTGGTGAAGAAGCTGAGTGACCTCACAGGCTGCACCCAAGTTGTGGATGTAGGCTCAGGCCAGGTGAGCCAGACCCCTAATATTCTGGTTTTTTGTCGGGATAGAACAGCTGGAAGACAGGTTATCGGGCCACAGGCCCAGGGAGGCAGGTGCTAAGGAGTGGTAGAAGCAAGCTGTGCAGAATTTAAGCCTTCTGGGGGCCTAGGACCCAGGCATCCAAACCACAGACAGGGAGGGGGACAGTGGAGAGGACACTGAACGGGGCTGTCTCCACCCTCCCTCTCGGGACTCCAGGG